GAAAATTTGCATAGCTAAAACCTGGGCTCCCTTGAATAAAATGGATGTAATTTGGAAATCTGATCTACTGAACAACGTCAAGTGGAGATTCTTTCAAGCCACTGTAGAGGTTGTGTTAATGTACGGTAGCATTACTTTGATATTAACTAAAACAATTGAATCTAAGCTTGATGAAACCTACACTTGGATGCTGAGAGCTATACTTAACATCTCTTGGAAACAACATCCAACTAAATCACAGCTCTATGGAGCCATCTCTGATATTTCTACAATCTTAATTGAATGCAGAATGTGCTTTGCAGGACAATGCTGGTGAGCAAAACAAGAACTTGCAAGTTCTGAGCACCTAGCCATGGTGCAAGACGAGTTGGTCTCCCAGCAACCACATATGTTGACCAGCTATGTTATAACATAGAATGACACCCTAATGACCTTCCGACCTTGATGCAGGAATCTGATGGCTGGCACAGATGACTTGTTAATGTTCGAACTAGCTTGACCAAATAAAAAAATAAAAAAACAATATCTGTTCAGACATTATTACAGCAAACTATCAGAATACCTTGCCATAATGTAACTCTTAGCAAATACTTTCAGACCCTACCTGAAACAAGAAAACTCCTCTTTCCAGGTTATTTTACACCTGTGATTATAATAAAAAAAAAAAATAAAAAAATGAGTTTAATGAGATGAAGAATTCTTTTGTATAATACAGGAGTCTCAAACACACTACATGCAAGTTGCATGTGGTCCATAGACTATATTTCTGTGGTCAGTGTGAAACCACTCTCATGACCAATATTTTTCTCAAATTTTAATAAATTTATCCCTCACCCCTCCCATACTTTTACAGTAGCAGTAGTGAGCTCAACCCACCCATCAAGTGAAAATAGAGTCAATCAATTTTAAGGTCAGTTCTAGATCCTTCTCCATCACAACATATTCTTCATCAGTGACTTAACAAGAGGGTACAAATGTACCTTGCGATAATATCATTTTTTTTTTTTTTTTTTTATAAATCTAAAGTCTATTACAACTATATTTCAGACATCTCCACCTAAAATCTGAAATTTTATTTACTATTTATTATTTCTTTCAACAGGTGTAGATAGGTATGTCTATCATCCGGTTCACACTCCTCCCCAGTCTTTTGAACAAGAGTAGAGGTTTATCCCCGTTTCTTGTTAAGGATTGGGTTTCTGATTTTTTTTTTTTTTTTTTAAGAGTCTTCTTATTCTCTTTCACTCTTAGTATCCCTTTGCATCTTAGTGGCATTATTGCCTTACTTGGGGTGAATTGATAAAAAACAAAAATTATCTAAGAAATAAATTTGACAACTCATTAAGGAACACAGATCCCCACCTCATATATGTGAACATGATGTGAACTTATTTTAATGTGAAAAATGCACTTCTACTAAGGGGTCCTCTCTGTTAGTAATACTCTATTGATAGACCTGTTGCATGGTTCCCATTAACATTTAATGACCCTTTTTTCATTGGCTTCAGTTTGAGACTCCCTGGCTCATCACAGACAGACAAATGCTAAATTCATATGTCAAGAATGAAATCATTATTCTTTATGACAAAAGCCCTTTTTGAAAGCATTCCTTTTAAAATTTTTACTTTTATTTCTCTCTCCTATTTTACTGAAGAGAACAATTCTGAAGTTCTGGGACAAGGAATTATCCTCATTTTTGTTGCTATTATTATGTTTCAGCTTTTGTCCTCTGGCCTTCTTCAGGGAATTTCAAACAATCCTTTATTTAATCTAGTGAAATGTTCTCATTCTGTTGTCTATGTCTAGGAATATCTCATTTAGTACTATTCAGTTATTGCTTGCTTTGTTTCCACTAAGTCTCAATCTGTACAACCTGGATTGAAGATTGAACTTACAATTACTATATAACCAAATTCATGAACCAATACTAAGCTATTGCACTGTGGGTCAATCCTGCACTTAGAACTTGTAGCCTTAAATCTTGTCTCTATTTTTGATGTTATTAAATGTTAGGTTTAAGGCAACATGTTCTAGATTCAGGATTGTCCCATGAAACAATAGCCTAGTGGATTAAAGTGTTGGTTTGTAAATGTGATGTCATAATAATTATGAGTTCAATCCCTGTACTGGATAGTATAGGGAAAGCAATAACTGAGCAATACTAGATGAGATTATCTTTAGACATGGACAGCAGAGCATCAAAAAGATTAATCTACATTAAAAAGATGGTTTAGTTCAGAATCATAAATTTACAAATGTGAGTGCAGTACTAGATTGGTGGGTAGGTCTCATCATTTTACAGTTGAAATGGCTAAATGCAACCATAAGTTCTATGCTAACAGTTTCTTCTATTGCACTTCTCACTTGTGGAACTCTTTTCTAGCTTCTTGCTTCCAACCAACTTTGATCTTCAAAAATTTAAATCCTATGTTAACTATCATCTTCTGTCATCTTTCTGTCCTTTTATTGTTCTCTCTCCTTAATGTTTTTTTTTTTTCTCATATTCTCCTTGCATAATCCTTGCATCTTAGTGACTTTATAGCCTTGCTTGGGGTGAAATTATTAAAAATAAAAATAAAGTTAGATTAACTTACAGACCAAATTTCAAGAGGCAAAACTATTAAATTATTTTATGCTTGCTATATCAGTTCATTTGTTCAATGTACGATGCAGTTATAGCATATAATTTTGTATTTCTTGTGCAGGGTGGGGCAGAAATATCTGGGTCAACAACAATTTCGTTGGAAATCAATATAAAAAAACAAAGAAAAACTATAAGAATTGTTAAAGTAAACAAAATCCTATTTCGTCATAAAACAAAGTTGTAAATATGTATATACAAGAAAGAAAAGAAAAACTTCAATAACAATGTTGGTTCAAAACGGTGATGAGATCTTTTCTTTTTAGTGGGCCAAAATTCTCCTATCTGCCTCAATGTACTTAATGACTTAATCCCAGATATACCAAAAGAAAATCATATAAAAGAAGATCTAATTAACTATTGTGTAATATTGATTTAATTATTACTAATTTCTGCTGTATCACTCAATATGCTGTTGTTAATGATTATAGTGATACAGTTGTTTAATAAATCCTACCTGTGATATCATGGACTACATTGCTAGAAAATCTAATAAGACAATTATACAAAGAAGAAAACTGAAATTAAAAACACAGTAAATAATTAAAACTATGAATTAAATTTATTAACAAAAACAAGATAATAAAAGTCAATAATTTAAAAAAGACAAGTTTCTAGACAGAATATATACATTATACCCCCACCACCCCAAAAACAGCTTAAAGTTAAAAAGCACTAGTCGTTATATTTTTTTGTGATGTTAGACACACACTCGTTGTGACTTCGTTTGGTCAACAAATGCCCGTTATCACTTCTAAAATGCTTGTTGTAGAGACTTTGTAACGCGGATAATGGTAGTAGTAACGCCTTCAGTAATACTGGCACTAATAATACCTGTTCAAATAGTAATTGTCGAATAGTAATTCGTATAATGATCAGTATAGAGAAATAGTATAGACAATAGCATAGAGAATAGTGATCACTTAAACATCACACTAATTCCCATTTATATGTTTCTTTTATGATCACATGGTCTACTTGTTTAATAATGGAATCATCCGTGTTTGCTCACATATGATCTGTGTTCAAACTACAGTGTCGGCAACAACACTATATTCCTATACAATATCCTATACAATATGACTATACAATATCCTATACAATATCCTATACAATATCCTATACAATATCCTATACAATATCCTATACAATATCCTCCCTTTGTGATGATCCTTGCAGTCTATACTTTTTCAGCTTTGATTTTCCATCAGTAGAAACTGTCGGCATTCTTTTACTTTTGCCATAAACCTTTGGTTGAACTATTTCTGATGGTGTAGGTACGTTAAATGTATCAGACAAAATTTCCATTGGTCCTTCTATTTGGGGACTTTTTAATTCAGTGAATTGATGTTTTAGCTGATTCAGGTGTCTCATGTGTTCTCCCCCTTTGTCCCTGTACGTCATTCTGCTGATATGTTTTTAATGATGCTATCTTGCCAGAATCCCTTTCCACACTGATACATCCCGAAAAACACTTTGTCTCCAGGTTTGAAATATGTATTTGTATTGTTAAACTTTGATGTTCTTGCCTTGCATTCAGGTAACAACTTATTGAAGATGGACTTGATCTTCCCGGCAAACATCAGCTTTACAGTTGACATTCTAGACACAGTGTTAGGGTTTGGCGTAATTCGGTAAACACTTAGAAATTGTTGAATCATTACCTCATCTGACTTTTCTCCCTCTGATTTTCTTAGTGCCCTTTTAAACATGTCGACAAACCTGTCAAACT